GAGGGAGGGGGGGGCTAGGGGGGAGAGGGAGGGGGGGGGTTTGGGGGGGGGAGGGTGTGGGGGGTAGGGGGGGGGAGGAAGGGAGGGGACGAAGGAACGGGAACAAAGTAAAAGAAAAGGGAAAAGCAAAAGCAAAAGCAAAGAAAAAGAGCCGCGGCAGCGAGAGGCTCCCGCGGCGCTGCTGCCTCCCCGCGCACTGCCCGAGCAAATGGCTGTGGGGGCGAGTTCCGGCGCTTAAATACCCCCGCCCCGACCCACCCCCTGCCCGTCCCCGCCCCGCGCACCTGGACGGGCCCCGCCTCGCACACCTGTGCGGGCCCCGCTCCGCCCCGGCCCCGCCCCGGCCCCGCCCCGCCCGCGGGGTTTAAAGCCGGCAGAGCCGCGGTCGCCCCGCGTTTGTGGAGGAAGCTCATCCCGGGATGCTGCGGGAGCGATCGGCGCTCGGGGCCGGAGTCCCGGCCCGGCGGCTGCTCCCGGCGCTGCGCCGAGCTCGGGGCGCTGAGCGGGGACGGCACCGGCACCGGAGGACCGAGGCTGGCTTGGAGCTGCGATGGGGTTCGGCAGCGGTACGGGGATCGGCATCGCCGGAGTCGCTCCGGGGTGGGCGCTGGGGCCGAGCTCGGCAGGGCCGCTCGGGCCGGGGATCTGCCGCGGCCCGGTTGGGGGAGAACGGCGGCGCTTTCCTCGTACAGACGCGGAACCCGGGCCGGGACCGGCCGGGGCGCGGGGACACGCCGGGCCGGCCCCGGGACCCCCCGATCCCGCCGGGCCCGCAGCGCCGCCCGCACCTCCCGCGGGATCGGAGCTCCTCCCTCTCGGGCACCCCCGAGGACATCGCACCCCCCCCCGAAGAACATCGCCCGCCTCCCTCTTCCCCGCGGCCCCAGGAGGTTCCCGCCCGCAGGGCCCCCCGGGAACGAGGGGTCTGGGGCCCGCCGGGGCTCCGGCCACGGACCCGCTCCGGCCGCGGGGAGCCGGGGCCCTGCCGGGGCAGGGAAGAACGGGGGCAGCCGCTCCCTCGTTCCTCCCGTGCTCCGGGACCCCGAGCAGAGCTCTGTCTGTCTGTCCCCTGTCTCTGTGTCTGTCCACAGGCGGCCCCAGGAGCTGGCGCTGACCGTGCCGCGGGTCGGGCACAGGCTGCTCCCAGCTCTGCCTGCGGAATTTCGGCAATTGCCCCCAACAGTTCTTTGCCCTGCCATCCAGAAGGTGCGGCTCCTCTGACACCTGCCAGGTGAGACCTGAGGCTCTCCTTCCTCTCCCCCGCTTCCTCGGCAACTCGCACCCTCCCGGGGCAAACCCTCTGCTTTTTAAACATCCCCCATCTTTATTTGCAGACGGGGAAGGTCCTGCCTGGGAGGGAAACGGCTACAGGAGAGGAAACCAAGAAACGCTCAACCGGACGCTGCTGCGCGAGTCAAAGGAGGGAAGGACCGCAGGTAAATACAGTCAGGAAATCCGCTTTTATTAAATCTCTGCAGCATTAAATCCCCCCTTCCCAGCCACGGGCCGGAGGGAGCGCGGCCGGCTGGGCTGTGCCCGGCTGGGGACGGGCACCAATTCATCACTGCCCTGCTCAGGGAGGTTTGCCGGCCCCGTTCAGGATTCATCCAATGGTTGCAAAGGTGCTCGTACAACGTCTTTTTCCAGGGATAAATGAGCCTAATAAACCCAGAGGAATCCTTTGCTCCGAGGCAAAGGCGTTGGTCGAGTGTCGCCGCCTGGTCCCGCCTGCGAGGGGGCGTCTCCTCCAGGTGAGCCTTGGGAACCCAAAATGCGGGGGGGGGGCTCAGGTCGGGGCCGCTTTTCGGGCCCGGAGTTGGACGGAGCCTTCGGCGGCTGCTGCTTCCCGCCAGGAATGTTCTCGGGGCTCCCTGGGCAGAACCAGCTGGGCAGGGAACGCGGGCCGGGAGGAGGCCGGAGCGACAGAGAGGGACCCAGCCCTGCTTGGGCTTCCTATTGCCGGGGGATGGAGGAGCTGTGCCCTGGAGCTGTGCCCTACAGCCCCCGTGGGGTGGGCACGGGGAAAGGGCTGCCCGCGGCTCCTCAGCCAGATGTGCATCCCTTTGCTCGGGGAAAAGAACTCCCCGGGGCCGCTCCCGAGGCTCCGAAGGGACAGCGGCTTCCCGCCCGGAGAGACGTCCTCGCCCGTGCTCAGGGGCTGCCTCGCCCCGGGCCGGGAGCGCGTCCGGCCCCCGCCTTCTCCTGGGCCAACCCATCCCCTGGAGCCCGGCCCGGGGCGGAAAACCGGCCGAATTCCAGGGAACTCGCTCAAGTCCCCCCAGGGACACCGGCGGGGTTGGGGGAGGAGGGTTACAAACAGCAAAGTCTGTGCAACATCAACCTGTCCTTGTCCCGATCCCGCTGAGCAAACCTGGAACCGTGGCTGCTTCCTGGCAAACCTGGTGTTAAAGCGGCAGCTCTGCAGGGGAGTATCTGAGCTCCAGGAGACACTGGGAGGTTATTCCAGCAGGAATTCAGCATGGAATTGCGGGCTGTAGGTAGAAGTCATCTAAACCTGCAAAGCTGAGACCGGAACCCAAACCTGGGCCCCCTGCAGAGAACAATCTTTGTGCTGCTGTGTTGGCCAAAGCTGCTGCACTGAGAGATCTTGGCAGCCTGAGGGAGGGCATTCTCTATGTCCCAGAAACCAGCATCTCCCAAGGGGACAATCCAAGTCCCAAAAGATTCCTTTGGCCTTTCCACAGGGACTCTGACCCTTATTTGGTCCTGCTCTCCCACGGTTCATTTTGGGGGATTGGTTTGTGCTGGTTTACGTTCCACGACTCCACCCACAGCTGGAGGTTTGGGGCTGTGCTTCTCTACTCCCAGCAGGTTCCCTAAGGAGCCAGATACTCCAACAATCCCCTCGTTTGACTTTCTAGGTGAATTGTGCACAAGCCAGTCCCCCATTCCCTATCCAGGCTGGAAGTGCTCGTGCCCTTGGCACAGTTGGCTCTGGCTGGGCAGGAACTGAGAGCAGGACACGGGGCAGAGTGGATCAGCTGCTCAGGGAACCTCCAGGAGATGAAGCTACGGGATCCTCATTCCAATCAAGGGAACACGTTCTGTCTCTGGCAGAAGCCGGGAGCCAAAGCAGATCCCGCCTGGCCAGGCTGGGGGGCAGCAGTTGGATCCACTCTGGGGGAAAGCCCCTGTGCCTGCCAGGAGCTCTGACTCTGTTTGTCCTGCCAGCTCCTGACCAGTGTCAGGGCCCCTGGGAGGGATTCAGAATCCAAAGAAACCCCAAATCCTACCGAGGGACTCAATCAAAGGAAGAAAGCCATTCTTGTCATAAAAAGCTTAAAAAGCTGTTAAAAGTTCTAGGACAGCAATACTGGGATTCCCAGGAAACTTAGTAGTGTCTCGGTTCCATTTCAATGTATCTTTAGTCCCTCAATGAGCAGCTTGGAGAACTTCCCCTGGGATTTGGAGGCTGAGCAGGGTTTGCTTTGGATTGCCTGGCACCTCTGGCCCCAGCTGGTGCAAACACAACTTGGGCCAATGGTCTGTGCCCAGTGTGTCCCTGTGGGCAGTGCCAGGCTGGGGACAGGCACACGCAGCTGGCAGCACTCTCTGCCCCAAACAGCCTTGGGGGGCAGCGCAGCCCCCCCAAGGGGGGGGATCGAGGGGGGCTGGAGGCGGCCCAGGAAAGGCCCCCCCGCTCCCCCCGGGGCAGCTCCACAGCCCCCCTGCCCTCTCTGCCACGGGGGCCCCGCTGCTCCCCCGGCTGGCACAGAGCCCCCTGCCCATGGCTGGCAAATCAGGGCCAGGGCTCGGCCTCGCTGCAGCCGCCCCACACGGGAGCAACTCAGGGCTCAGCCCAACATTTCCCTGCTTGGCCACTGCAGAGACCCTCAGGTCACCTCAACACCTTCCTTCTCTTCCCAGCAGGTTACCTGAACTTTAACACCCACAACTGTCTGTGTCTCTCACCACTCATCACCTCAGCTTACCTCAATGTGTTCATTCCCTGCCCTGCAGAGAATGAACCTCCTTTTAAATCCCCAAAATTTCCCCTTCCAGCCCACTCCTGATTACCTTTTCTTGAACACAAAAGAGTCATTCTCTCCCCTAGAGATCATCTCCTTTTTAACCCCCTAAGTCTTCCTTACCTGCACACTCCTGATTATCTCTTTTGGACTTCCAAATATTCATTCTCTGCCCTGCATATTTGCTTAAGTTTGACACCCGAAATTTTCCCTACCTCTCCACAGCTGATCCCCTCATGTATACCTAAATATGTTCCTGCTCTACCCTACAGACCACCTCAAATTTACTCTCCAAACTTTCCCTACCTGCTCACCACTGACTACGTCCTTTTCACCTCCAAATATTCATTCTCCACCCTGGAGGGTTTCTCAAGTTTTCCCTGTCCACTGATGACTGCCTTAGTTTATCCCAAAATGTTCATTCTCTCTGCCAGACACTGCCACACATTTTACCCCCAGAACCTTCCCTTGGCCTGCTGTGGTGTCCACTCCTGATTGCCTCCTCTGCACCTCTCAGGATTCATTCTGGACCCTGGAGATTACCTCAGAGATTTCTGCCCTAAATGTCCCCACCTGGCCACCACTGATTACCTCAGTTGACCTCCTGATGTCCTTTCTCTCCCCTGGAGATAACCTCGTTCAAAACCCCCAAAGTTTGAACTCAAAATATTCATTCTCTGCCCTGGACGTTCCCTCAAGGTTTACCCCTGTAATTTTCCCCATATGTCCACAACTGATTACCCCAGTTTACCTCATGGTGTACATTCTCTCTGCTCCACGTGACCTCAAAGTTTACAAACACAAATTTTCCCTCCCTGCCCAACACTGACTGCCTCACTTTACCCCAAGGTATTCCTTCTCTCTGCTACAGATTCTACTCCCAAAATTCTCCTTACCTACCCACATGTAATCAGCTCCTCTCTACAAATACATGTTCATTCTCTACCCTGTGGGCTACCCCAAGTTTACCCTAAAACACTCCCCAACTGTCCACCACTGAGCACCTCATTTATCCTTCAAAATATTCACTCTCTGCCCTGGACGTTCCCTCAAGTTTTACCCCCAAAGGTTTCCCCTCCTGCCCACCCCTGACTGCCTCAGTGTCCAGCAGGAGGTACATCCTCTCTGCTACAGGTGACCTGAAATTTTACACACACAAATTTTCCCTACCTGCCCACCACTCACTGCCTCACTTTATCTCTAAATGGTCATTCTGTCCTCTACAGATGACATCAACTCTTACCTCCAACATTTCCCTTCCTCTACATCACCCATTTTCTCTTCCTGACGCCCCAAATTTCCCTTCCATCCCTACACATTCCCTGAGTGTTTCCCTCCCAAGCATCCTGCCCTTCTTCCCTGTTTAAGAACTCACACTCCAGCCCCAGGCTCTCCACTCCCCCTCAGTGGGACCCCTCCAAAATGCCACCTCCCTCCCCTCTGCAGCACCTCACCTTTTCCTACACAAACAGTTGCTGGGGCCCCTCGAAATTACCCCAAGTTGGCAGCTACAAATGTCACCTCTGTCCCTGCCATGTTCTCCCAGGTTTCCCCAGCTGGGAGCTGCAAGGAATTCAGGCCAGGGAATGGACAGCAGGGAACAGCTGTACATGCAAAGGCAGAAAGAGAAGGTCTGTCAGCAAAAGGCACAAAGAAGGGGACAGGCTTCAGAAAACATTTCTGCAATCTAATGAAGAACTCTTTCCAGTTTCCCAGGGAGAAGAACAGGAACTCACAGCCACCAAGGCCTGACAGTCCCCTGCAGCCAGAGCTCAGCACACAGCCAGAGAGGCAATTCCAGCATCTAAAAGGAAAAAAAAGAACAAAAAAAGTGATTTATTTTGGTTTAAAGTTACTTTAAGTTGTTCCAAGCAAAGCAAGCCTTGCTCTGGTTTCAGTTGGGTGAACAGGGAGCGCTGGGCACAGGGCACGTCATTAATGCCCAGGGGATGGGGCTTGGTGGGGGAGGGAAGAGCAGCTGATGGAGTTGCCCAGTCCAATTCCTGCCCAAGGCCTGATGGCCCAGGACAAACCCTCTGGCAGGCAGTGGGTTTGTTCCCTCTCCTGGTCAGTGCCCAGTGTGTCCCTGTGGGCAGTGCCAGGCTGGGGACAGGCACACGCAGCTGGCAGCACTCTCTGCTCCAAAGACACTTCTGGGCTCCTTGGCAAACTGCCTCTGACACTTGGTTTTCTCCAGCAGAAATTAAGGAATTGCTCATGGCATTTAGGAGATGAAGTTATCCCAAAGGGAAGGAAAGAACAAATATTCCTGTCAGAGCCCTTGGGATCTGCTGGGCTGAATTGGGAAGGGCCCCTTATCTGCAGAGCAAATACAGGACAGCCTCAAACACAAAGCCCAGCCTGTCCAGTGGGGTGTGAAAGCACCACTGGGACAAACCTCCACTCTCCTGATTCTTTCCAGGGGCTGCTCCGACCCAGCTCTGAAGCTGCCAAGCCCAAACTGTCCCCGGCGCTCTGGAACGACAGGATCTTCCCAGGGATGATGCACTGGAAGCACAGCCCTCATTCTCACCCTCCACACGCTCCCAGGCTCACCCCAAATTCAGGACAAGGGGCCAAAGGCCCCTCGGGCCGGGGCTCTCTCTGTCTCTGCGGGCTCAGGGACTGCAGCCACCAGGGCCCTCCAGCACGGACAGCCTGGACCCAGAGCAGATCCCTGGGCATTGGCAGCGTCCTGGGCACACCTGGAGACAGAAACCATCAGCCTCGGGGACAGCACTTCATTGCCAGCACACACAGCCTGCCACATTTAGGGGGGCAGCTCTCGGAGCACAAAGCCCAGTCTGACCCAGTTCTCCTGGGCACCAACACGGACTCCACAGACCCACAGGAATGAGAATGTTCTGCTGCTTTGAGAAACTTCAGCCCAGCTTTGCAAACCTCAGTCCCTGCAGCTCCTGCTCTCCAGAGCCCCGTTCAGGGCTGGCTCCAGTTCCCTGGAGAACCTGCCCCAGCCCCACTCTGGGCCAGCCTGAGCAGAAGCCACTGGGCTGCACAAGGAAGAACCCTCCCCTGGCTGCTGCAGCTGGAGGGAGATCCAGCTCCCAATGGAACCCTGGGAACAGCCTCCCAGAGGGTCTCTCCCCAGCCCTTGGCAGTGGCTCAGAATGGCAGCAGCTCCAGTGCCAGCTGGGTCCCTGCACGAGTCCTTGTCCCAGCCCTGCCCCACGGACACACACGGGAGACACCCACGGGCACACAGGCCTTGCTTGCACAATTCCTCACCCACAGCTGAGGGAAAGCCACACAACAGTAAGAAATACCCTGGGCTGAGAGCACTCATCACTCCAGTCCATCAGGACTTGGAGGCAGTTGGGTAGGGAACAGACCCAAATTCTAATCCTACCTCTACATTTCTAACAGGTTCTCTTAGAAAGATCCTGGACAGGAACTCAGACAACAGAACCCAAACACTGCACAAGCAATAACAGAAGGTTTGCCATGAAGAACAGGAGTTCCTTGTTTTCCTTAACACTCTGGGACTGGAGGACCCAATCTTTGCAACCAAGGGACACCAGAGATGTGATTAATACTTAAACCTCTCCCCCATGGTTCTGTCTCAGAGAACTGGGCCAGCCCTGAGCTACTCCCAGGTGCCTGCAGTGCTTTGGGGAGGGGCAGGACAATGTCCCACTTCTGCTTGGAAACATTCCAGATGAGGAAAAGCCACTTCCCTTCTCTCTCTCTGACCCAGAACCAGAACGGTCCTGTAGGACAACACGGACTATGCACGGAAGGCCCGAGTCAGTGGGGGAAAAAGCCTAAACAAACCAAACCACCCCAAATTTCAAGATAAAAACAGGCTGCTTCCTTAACAGGAGCACACCAAACTCATTGAAGCCAGAGAGGAAATCACAAACAAATAAAAGACCCAAAAGGATGCTTTGCACTGATACACTCTCTGGTTGATCATCCCAAAGGAGATTCTCCACAGATCAGAAGCAATTACCAATACTTTGTCCTCTGTGGAAAATTAACAACTTGAGGGGCTGGACATGTCCAGTGAGGGTTCAGGGTCTGGTGGGTCCTTTATGGCTGATCCTGACCGGCCCAGGCCAAACCCAACCACCCCCATGGCTGCTCCATCCCAGACCTGGGGGCAACATTCAGACAGTTTGGAAACACTCCCCTTCCCTGCTACTCCGTCCTTCCTTACACATCCAGTGCCCAGGGAGCAAATGCCAACAGCAGGAGGAGAGAAAGGTGTCCCTCTGACTTACCCCCCCCACGGGCAGCACCAGGAGCCCCCAGCCCGGCCGGCGGGGCTGCAGCCTCTTGCCTTTGGCTGCTCCCAGCCCAGGGCACTTGGCAGAGCTGGGCTGGATCAGGGCTTTGGCCTGGCCTGGAAGAGAGGAGAACAAGGCAATTAAGGGCACTGGGCAAGTCAAAGGCTCCTGCCCTTCACCCTTCTGTTCAGTTGCTCACTAGAGAGTTTGAGCCATGAAAAATCCAGGGGGGACAGCAAATGAAACGTGGCCTTTTCCAGCATCTTTATTCCTCTCTACTTCAGGCACTAAAAGGAGGCTCATCTTTCTCACTGCATTCCTTGCCCCACTTGAACAGAACCTTCTTCATTCCAAACCCCCCTTGGGAGTCAGTCAATCCTCTGCCATTGGACTTTGGGCAAAGGAAGAGACACCTGGGATGCTGGAGCCCAGGAAAGGAGGGAGAGGAAGCTGACAGGGAGAGGATTCAAGGCACTCCAGAACTCAGAAATGTGTTCATGCCCTGCCAGCCCACCCCAATTCTCTGCCACCCACCTGAGCTGGGCAGGTGAGGCCAAGGCTCCCCTTCCTGCTGCCAATCACTGTCCCAGCACACGGATCCCCGGGCTGGGCAGCACTTGGAAAAACCTGGGAAAGGCAAAAGGAAAATGGCACTGCCTGTCAGAAAACAAGTGTCCGTGAACAAACCTGCTGGACAAATTTCATCCCATCCCTCTGCCCCAATAAACCCAGGGCAGGCAGGTCTCTCCAGCCCAGGGAGAGCAGGAAGGAGAACTGCA